GCTGAGCACAGAGGGACAATCACTGCCCTAGTGCTGCTGGCCACACTATTTCTGGTACAAGCCAGGATGCTGTTGGCCTTCTTGGCCACCTGACCACACCGCTGGCCCATATTAAGGCAGCTGTCGCCCAACCCCCCAGCACCCTTTCCGCCAGGCAGCTTTCCAGACTGTCTCCTCCCCCTGCCTGCAGTGTCGCATGGGGTTGCTGTGCCCCAAGTGCAGGACCCGACACTTAGCCTTGCTGAACCTCAGACAGTTGGCCTCAGACCATCAGTCCAGCCTATCTAAACCACTCTGCAGAGCCCTCCTACCCTCGAGCAGATCGACACTTGTGCCTAACTTGGTGTTGTCTGGAAACTTGCTGAGGGTGTGCTCGATCCCCTCGTGCAAATCCTTGAGAAAGATATTGAAGAGAATTGGTCCTGGTACTGAGCCCTGAGGGACACCACTAGTGACCGACATCCAGCTGGATTTAACTCCATTCACCACACGACTTTGGGCCTGGCCACTCAGCCAGCTTTTAACCCAATGAAGCGGACACTTGTCCAGGCCTCCAGCAGCCAACTGCTCCAGGACAATGGTGGGGGAAACGGTGTCAAAAGCCTTACTGAAGTCTAGGTAGACCATACGCAGGGCCTTTCCCTCATCCACTGAGCGTGTCACATTGCCGTAGAAGGAGATCAGCTTTGTCAAGCAGTACCTACCGGTGCTAAACAGCCACCGCTCCATACAGCAGGCTGTGCAATGGGGGTACTCAGCACGGGGCTGCAAAAACACCTGTGAACCCAGGAGTGCTGGGCCCCTGTGGAAGAAACCGCTGCCCATCACAGAGTGGGGAAGAGGACGTAGGGATGCAGGCGGTCTGTCTGGACTCCTCTCCTGACCCCTCTCCAAATGGGGGCTGGTGTTCACACAGTGCTCCACAGGCCTCTGCAGCAGCCTGCTTGCATTGGTCCCTCCCAAACAGAGGTGCACCAACGTGTGGCACCAGCTGCTCCTCATCTCTTTCTCTTCCAGGTGGATGCTCAAGGAAATTCTCCACTCAGGAGAGGTCCCAGGCTACCAGGCCTCCAGTCCTTCCCTCAAGCTTAGCACTGGTGCTGCCAGAGAAGATCCAGGTGTCTGGGTGCTAGCAGATGAGGGTGGACCTGGAACCCCCCCGCCAAACACACAGACACACAGAGCAGAGCTTTGCTGGAGGGCTTTATTGATCATTAGAGGAAAAAGGTCCAGGGCTCCCATGACATCAGGTCGGTGCGTCCAGGGCTGATCATCTCCTCATGCCACTGGGGGGGTGAGGACACGGGGGGTCCACATCATGTCTTCTCCTGAAAGACACAGCCGAAAATGTGCCCCCCAAAGTCCACCGGGACAAGAGAAGCTTTGTCCCTGTGGGGTTTCTCTCAAAGGACCAAGGGAATCTCTCCCATATCTGCGGTGTCCCTGGGCTGCCTGCATGGCAGCCAGAATCCTGCCTGTCCCTTACAGAGACATTCCTGGTCCGTACAGAACTGTGGAGCACAAGGGAAAGACCGGGGGATGGCATTTCCCAGGTCCCTCCAGAGCAGGTCATGGGCAGCCCCTTTCACCCAGACCCAGGCCCTGACACCCAATTCCCCAAGGACTCCGGGTTCTGCCAGGGTCACCTGGCAGCCTTTGTGGGGCTCCTACCCACCTAGGCATGGAGGGCTGCAGACAGGCTTCTCTTGCGCAAGGCCTTTACGTCCGTGTCCAAGGCAGGCTGGAGAGAAAGGGAGTGTTAGGGCCAAACTGGGTTGTACTGGGAGGCAGGGGAAGGCAAGGGGGGCTCTGGGGAAAGGGACCTCCAGGGAAAATTCTGTGGGTGCTTGAGTGAGTATTGTGGGGCAGTGGGGTATAGTGGGACACACTGGGGTTGCCCAAGACACTGAAGTGCCTTGGGAAAGGCAAGGGAAGGCCTGAAGCCTCCAGATCTTGTGGTGCCTCCCAGAGCCCCTTCTCCTGCACATTGTCCGCCTGCAGCAGGAGGCAGCCCATGAGAGACCTGGTAGGTCACAGGGATGTCCCCATGTGCCATGAGGAATGAGAAAGGCGAGCACAACTCTGCGCTTCCTCGGCCTGGCCAGCCCCAGGGTCACCCCGCTACTCACTGGCACAGCAACATCTTCACTTGCTGTCACATCAACATCTGCCACGTCCTAGGGAAGAAGAGCCATGAGGCAGTCGTGAGTGGAGCTCAGTGGTGATGGGATGGTGTTGGGCTGGTGGGGTTGGGTAGTCCCAGGGTTTTGCTGTCCACCCCTCCCCTTGGCTCGGCGCGAGCGCTCCCCATAACCTCACTGCTCCTAAGGCTTCTCTGGGATGTCTGCCCATGCAAGGACACCAGTGTTGGGGATGGAGGACAAGGAGAGTGTGGGGAATTGGGGTACCCAAAGGAAGGGAGTTGGAGTCTTTGCCAGCCCCTTGCTTGGCAAAGGGAGAAGCAAAGCAAGGAGGTTTGATGCTCACCACTGCGGATTTCTTTTGCAAGAGAGTTGACAGCTGTCAGCTGGGGGAGGAATCCCAGCCCAGTCTGGCCAGAAATCTCTGGAAGGTCACCTCTTTGGGGTCCTATTGCCCAGAGTGAGACCTGAGGGGCCACGTGAGCACTTACCACCTGGTCCAAGGCCACCTCAGATGATTCAGCAGGACGAAGAGCCACCTGTGGCAGGAGAGAAAGGAGCAAGAGAAGGCATGAAAGAGACCGGGGCAGCCAGGCACGGACCCACATTGCGTTGAGATCCCAGTGTCCAAAGAGGGCAAAGTACGCCTGGCCAGAGGGGCCCCCTGCAGCCCATCCCCACCTCCAGCCTTCAGCCTGTGCCCACGATGGGGGGCTCACCTTCGCATCTGCCGGGTGGCACAGGATGGCGAGGAGCAGGGCCACACTGAGCACAGCGACCTTCATCTTCCTCTGTGGTCTGGTGAGTCTTGAGTGAAGCTGGAGAAGGTGAGGGACAAGATTTATTTGTGCCCGGTCTCCTCCTGTCTCCCCCAAGAGCCCCTGGGGCAAAGCTGGGTTTGGCAGGGACACCAGCCCTGGCAACAAGCCCAGCCCTGGCACAGACTGACCCCCACCCCTGGCACTCAGCCAGCCACCTTCCCCGGCACCAGGCCAGCTTCCTGCGTGGGGCAGCTCCATGAGGCAGCTCCATCCAGGCATGAGTTGGTGGGGGGCAGTGCCTCACCTTCTCCTGGTCGGTCTGCCTGTGCCCCCCACCTGCCTCTGCCTCATTTCTCCCTGTCCAGTCAACCCCCCAGGGCTCCCCGTGTGCCAGTATCTTGCCTGAAAGTGGGGCTCTCCAAGCACCGTTGTCCCAGGCACTTTTCCGGGCCTTTGGAGAAAGAGGAGACTGGACTCAGTGCGGTTCATGGGCTAGCAGGAACTGTGGGAACTGGGGACACTGGAAGGTGGTGGTGAGGTTTAGAGGCATGATCAGTGGGCACTCTTGGGGAACTGGGAAAAAGAGTACAGTCAGCGGGGATACTGGGCAGCACTGGAAATGAGTTGTTCTGGTGACGGGTGGGCAGCAGGAGATGGCAGGCTAGCCTTGCAAGGTTTTCTGCAGGCCCCAAACTTGTCCCCCTCTTCGGGCACTCTTGCCCTCCCCAGTGTGGAGACCAGAGAGGAATGTTGCCAGAGCTGCTGCTGCTGCCTGTGGCCATGGTTCCCGCGTGGACACCTGGGTCCTTCTTTGCAGAGCTGCCCCTGGACAGCGGGTGACAGTGCCTCCAGCCCCAGCAAGGCCCCGACCCCAGCCCCGGCTGGGAATCAGCCAATGGTCCTCAAAGACCCTTGTCCCTGGGGAGTGTTCCTTCAGTGCCCTCACCCCTGGCACAGGTCACTGCTGTCCCCAGGCAGGATGTGGCCATTCAGAGGGGACCCGATGAAGCAGGCTCTTGTTCCTGGGCAGCCGCTCGAAGCTAATGGCAGGGGAACAAAGCTCCCCTGGCCTCAGGAGAGATGTTTGCCCCTGAAGCATCTCTGATAAGCCCTGTTTGCCTGGGGCTGATGAGACAAGGAGCCCATTCAGGGATGCTGGCACCTGGTGTGAGGGCCCCATGAGGTGGGGGAGCTGGGGTGGTCAAGTGGCCTGGACGCCTGCTTGCCTTCGCTGCCCTGGGGATTTGTCTGCTCATCGGGCATGGCCTCCTTTCTCCTGCCCCTGCCTGCCTTAGGAAAGCTGCCAAACCACAGGATGATGTCAATTCAAGTCTATTTGCATGTATTGCAATCTTCCCATGAAAACAATCTACTACACAGCATTAGAACCTTTCAAGCTTTTTTTTTTTTTTTTTTTTTTTTCAAACATTGATAGAGCTAAATTTAACTGCAACAATCCAGACAGTCTTTTGAGGGCAACAATCCAGGGCAAAACTCTGCAGTCTTCCACGCAGCCTGTAGCAACCTGGGTCCTTCATGTCTGGGGAGGGCTGCTGTCCACATCCCCTACTAGAAGGAGAGGAGGAGGACACAGAGCACCCTCGTAGGCTTAGGAAATCTAGGACCATTTTCAGTTCAGCACAATGATCTCTTCTCCCTCTTGTGCATTTTGAAAAGTGACCACTGAGGCACGCCAGATTTCCTGCTCCAATCCCACTCACCTCTTCTCCCCCTGACAGCTAGGCCATAGTGTCCCAGCAGGTGAGAAGGCAAAGGCTGCTGCTCCCAAAGAATTTCCTGCGCAGGCCACAGTCCTCACAACGCTCCCATCCCCTCAGCTTGCAGGGTTACAGCCACCAGCCACAGTCCTCGCAACGCTCCCATCCCCTCAGCTTGCAGGGTTACAGCCACCAGCAAGGTTTTCTTCCTAATTGTCTTCTCTGGCTGGTTCACTCTGAGCACCGAGTGTCTGTCTGGTACTGCTGGCAAAACACTGCTGCGCAGTGGACAGCAAAACCCTGGGACTACCCAACCCCACCAGCCCAACACCATCCCACCACCACTGAGCTCCACTCACGACTGCCTCATGGCTCTTTTCCCTAGGACGTGGCAGATGTTGATGTGACAGCAAGTGAAGATGTTGCTGTGCCAGTGAGTAGCGGGGTGACCCTGGGGCTGGCCAGGCCGAGGAAGCGCAGAGTTGTGCTCGCCTTTCTCATTCCTCATGGCACATGGGGACATCCCTGTGACCTACCAGGTCTCTCATGGGCTGCCTCCTGCTGCAGGCGGACAATGTGCAGGAGAAGGGGCTCTGGGAGGCACCACAAGATCTGGAGGCTTCAGGCCTTCCCTTGCCTTTCCCAAGGCACTTCAGTGTCTTGGGCAACCCCAGTGTGTCCCACTATACCCCACTGCCCCACAATACTCACTCAAGCACCCACAGAATTTTCCCTGGAGGTCCCTTTCCCCAGAGCCCCCCTTGCCTTCCCCTGCCTCCCAGTACAACCCAGTTTGGCCCTAACACTCCCTTTCTCTCCAGCCTGCCTTGGACACGGACGTAAAGGCCTTGCGCAAGAGAAGCCTGTCTGCAGCCCTCCATGCCTAGGTGGGTAGGAGCCCCACAAAGGCTGCCAGGTGACCCTGGCAGAACCCGGAGTCCTTGGGGAATTGGGTGTCAGGGCCTGGGTCTGGGTGAAAGGGGCTGCCCATGACCTGCTCTGGAGGGACCTGGGAAATGCCATCCCCCGGTCTTTCCCTTGTGCTCCACAGTTCTGTACGGACCAGGAATGTCTCTGTAAGGGACAGGCAGGATTCTGGCTGCCATGCAGGCAGCCCAGGGACACCGCAGATATGGGAGAGATTCCCTTGGTCCTTTGAGAGAAACCCCACAGGGACAAAGCTTCTCTTGTCCCGGTGGACTTTGGGGGGCACATTTTCGGCTGTGTCTTTCAGGAGAAGACATGATGTGGACCCCCCGTGTCCTCACCCCCCCAGTGGCATGAGGAGATGATCAGCCCTGGACGCACCGACCTGATGTCATGGGAGCCCTGGACCTTTTTCCTCTAATGATCAATAAAGCCCTCCAGCAAAGCTCTGCTCTGTGTGTCTGTGTGTTTGGGGGGGGGGTTCCAGGTCCACCCTCATCTGCTAGCACCCAGACACCTGGATCTTCTCTGGCAGCACCAGTGCTAAGCTTGAGGGAAGGACTGGAGGCCTGGTAGCCTGGGACCTCTCCTGAGTGGAGAATTTCCTTGAGCATCCACCTGGAAGAGAAAGAGATGAGGAGCAGCTGGTGCCACACGTTGGTGCACCTCTGTTTGGGAGGGACCAATGCAAGCAGGCTGCTGCAGAGGCCTGTGGAGCACTGTGTGAACACCAGCCCCCATTTGGAGAGGGGTCAGGAGAGGAGTCCAGACAGACCGCCTGCATCCCTACGTCCTCTTCCCCACTCTGTGATGGGCAGCGGTTTCTTCCACAGGGGCCCAGCACTCCTGGGTTCACAGGTGTTTTTGCAGCCCCGTGCTGAGTACCCCCATTGCACAGCCTGCTGTATGGAGCGGTGGCTGTTTAGCACCGGTAGGTACTGCTTGACAAAGCTGATCTCCTTCTACGGCAATGTGACACGCTCAGTGGATGAGGGAAAGGCCCTGCGTATGGTCTACCTAGACTTCAGTAAGGCTTTTGACACCGTTTCCCCCACCATTGTCCTGGAGCAGTTGGCTGCTGGAGGCCTGGACAAGTGTCCGCTTCATTGGGTTAAAAGCTGGCTGAGTGGCCAGGCCCAAAGTCGTGTGGTGAATGGAGTTAAATCCAGCTGGATGTCGGTCACTAGTGGTGTCCCTCAGGGCTCAGTACCAGGACCAATTCTCTTCAATATCTTTCTCAAGGATTTGCACGAGGGGATCGAGCACACCCTCAGCAAGTTTCCAGACAACACCAAGTTAGGCACAAGTGTCGATCTGCTCGAGGGTAGGAGGGCTCTGCAGAGTGGTTTAGATAGGCTGGACTGATGGTCTGAGGCCAACTGTCTGAGGTTCAGCAAGGCTAAGTGTCGGGTCCTGCACTTGGGGCACAGCAACCCCATGCGACACTGCAGGCAGGGGGAGGAGACAGTCTGGAAAGCTGCCTGGCGGAAAGGGTGCTGGGGGGTTGGGCGACAGCTGCCTTAATATGGGCCAGCGGTGTGGTCAGGTGGCCAAGAAGGCCAACAGCATCCTGGCTTGTACCAGAAATAGTGTGGCCAGCAGCACTAGGGCAGTGATTGTCCCTCTGTGCTCAGCTCCGGTGAGGCCGCACCTCAAATACTGTGCTCGGTTTTGGGCCCCTCACTACAAGAAGGACATTGACGTGCTGGAGCATGTCCAGAGAAGGGCAGCGAGGCTGCTGAAGGGTCCCGAGAACAAGTCTTATGAGGAGCGGCTGAGGGAGCTGGGCTTCTTCAGCCTGGAGAAAAGGAGGCTCGGGCAACTCCTGATAACACTCTGCAGTTAGCTTAACGGAGCCTGTAGTGAGGTGGGAATAGGTCTCTACAAATCAGGCTATAGTGAGGTGGGGATTGGTCTCTTCTCCCAAGCAGCAAGTGAGAAGACAAGAGGAAATGGCCTTAAGTTGCGCTAGGGGAGGTTTACTTTGGATATTAGCAAAACTTTCTTGACCGAAAGTGTTGGGAAGTATGGGAACAGGCTGCCCAGGGCAGTTGTTGAGTCACCGTTCCTGGAGTTCTTCAAAAACGTGTAGAACTAGAACTTATTAGTGTGGTTTAGTGGTGGACTTGTCAGTGCTGGGTTGCAGCGTGGAGTAGATGTTCACAGAGGCCTTTTCCAACCTAAACGATTCTACGACTCTATGAATTTCAGTTACCTTAAGAGAGTGGCAAATCTGTTGGCGCCTTCAAGCAGAGCACAGAGGCACTCTGCCATGGGTCAGTGATGCCCATGGAGTGCTGGGATGTGAGTAACCCAGTACCTGTGGCTGCGCAGCAGCGTTTGCCAGCAGTACCAGACAGACACTCGGTGCTCAGAGTGAACCAGCCAGAGAAGACAATTAGGAAGAAAACCTTGCTGGTGGCTGTAACCCTGCAAGCTGAGGGGATGGGAGCGTTGCGAGGACTGTGGCTGGTGGCTGTAACCCTGCAAGCTGAGGGGATGGGAGCGTTGTGAGGACTGTGGCCTGCGCAGGAAATTCTTTGGGAGCAGCAGCCTTTGCCTTCTCACCTGCTGGGACACTATGGCCTAGCTGTCAGGGGGAGAAGAGGTGAGTGGGATTGGAGCAGGAAATCTGGCGTGCCTCAGTGGTCACTTTTCAAAATGCACAAGAGGGAGAAGAGATCATTGTGCTGAACTGAAAATGGTCCTAGATTTCCTAAGCCTACGAGGGTGCTCTGTGTCCTCCTCCTCTCCTTCTAGTAGGGGATGTGGACAGCAGCCCTCCCCAGACATGAAGGACCCAGGTTGCTACAGGCTGCGTGGAAGACTGCAGAGTTTTGCCCTGGATTGTTGCCCTCAAAAGACTGTCTGGATTGTTGCAGTTAAATTTAGCTCTATCAATGTTTGAAAAAAAAAAAAAAAAAAAAAAAAGCTTGAAAGGTTCTAATGCTGTGTAGTAGATTGTTTTCATGGGAAGATTGCAATACATGCAAATAGACTTGAATTGACATCATCCTGTGGTTTGGCAGCTTTCCTAAGGCAGGCAGGGGCAGGAGAAAGGAGGCCATGCCCGATGAGCAGACAAATCCCCAGGGCAGCGAAGGCAAGCAGGCGTCCAGGCCACTTGACCACCCCAGCTCCCCCACCTCATGGGGCCCTCACACCAGGTGCCAGCATCCCTGAATGGGCTCCTTGTCTCATCAGCCCCGGGCAAACAGGGCTTATCAGAGATGCTTCAGGGGCAAACATCTCTCCTGAGGCCAGGGGAGCTTTGTTCCCCTGCCATTAGCTTCGAGCGGCTGCCCAGGAACAAGAGCCTGCTTCATCGGGTCCCCTCTGAATGGCCACATCCTGCCTGGGGACAGCAGTGACCTGTGCCAGGGGTGAGGGCACTGAAGGAACACTCCCCAGGGACAAGGGTCTTTGAGGACCATTGGCTGATTCCCAGCCGGGGCTGGGGTCGGGGCCTTGCTGGGGCTGGAGGCACTGTCACCCGCTGTCCAGGGGCAGCTCTGCAAAGAAGGACCCAGGTGTCCACGCGGGAACCATGGCCACAGGCAGCAGCAGCAGCTCTGGCAACATTCCTCTCTGGTCTCCACACTGGGGAGGGCAAGAGTGCCCGAAGAGGGGGACAAGTTTGGGGCCTGCAGAAAACCTTGCAAGGCTAGCCTGCCATCTCCTGCTGCCCACCCGTCACCAGAACAACTCATTTCCAGTGCTGCCCAGTATCCCCGCTGACTGTACTCTTTTTCCCAGTTCCCCAAGAGTGCCCACTGATCATGCCTCTAAACCTCACCACCACCTTCCAGTGTCCCCAGTTCCCACAGTTCCTGCTAGCCCATGAACCGCACTGAGTCCAGTCTCCTCTTTCTCCAAAGGCCCGGAAAAGTGCCTGGGACAACGGTGCTTGGAGAGCCCCACTTTCAGGCAAGATACTGGCACACGGGGAGCCCTGGGGGGTTGACTGGACAGGGAGAAATGAGGCAGAGGCAGGTGGGGGGCACAGGCAGACCGACCAGGAGAAGGTGAGGCACTGCCCCCCACCAACTCATGCCTGGATGGAGCTGCCTCATGGAGCTGCCCCACGCAGGAAGCTGGCCTGGTGCCGGGGAAGGTGGCTGGCTGAGTGCCAGGGGTGGGGGTCAGTCTGTGCCAGGGCTGGGCTTGTTGCCAGGGCTGGTGTCCCTGCCAAACCCAGCTTTGCCCCAGGGGCTCTTGGGGGAGACAGGAGGAGACCGGGCACAAATAAATCTTGTCCCTCACCTTCTCCAGCTTCACTCAAGACTCACCAGACCACAGAGGAAGATGAAGGTCGCTGTGCTCAGTGTGGCCCTGCTCCTCGCCATCCTGTGCCACCCGGCAGATGCGAAGGTGAGCCCCCCATCGTGGGCACAGGCTGAAGGCTGGAGGTGGGGATGGGCTGCAGGGGGCCCCTCTGGCCAGGCGTACTTTGCCCTCTTTGGACACTGGGATCTCAACGCAATGTGGGTCCGTGCCTGGCTGCCCCGGTCTCTTTCATGCCTTCTCTTGCTCCTTTCTCTCCTGCCACAGGTGGCTCTTCGTCCTGCTGAATCATCTGAGGTGGCCTTGGACCAGGTGGTAAGTGCTCACGTGGCCCCTCAGGTCTCACTCTGGGCAATAGGACCCCAAAGAGGTGACCTTCCAGAGATTTCTGGCCAGACTGGGCTGGGATTCCTCCCCCAGCTGACAGCTGTCAACTCTCTTGCAAAAGAAATCCGCAGTGGTGAGCATCAAACCTCCTTGCTTTGCTTCTCCCTTTGCCAAGCAAGGGGCTGGCAAAGACTCCAACTCCCTTCCTTTGGGTACCCCAATTCCCCACACTCTCCTTGTCCTCCATCCCCAACACTGGTGTCCTTGCACGGGCAGACATCCCAGAGAAGCCTTAGGAGCAGTGAGGTTATGGGGAGCGCTCGCGCCGAGCCAAGGGGAGGGGTGGACAGCAAAACCCTGGGACTACCCAACCCCACCAGCCCAACACCATCCCATCACCACTGAGCTCCACTCACGACTGCCTCATGGCTCTTCTTCCCTAGGACGTGGCAGATGTTGATGTGACAGCAAGTGAAGATGTTGCTGTGCCAGTGAGTAGCGGGGTGACCCTGGGGCTGGCCAGGCCGAGGAAGCGCAGAGTTGTGCTCGCCTTTCTCATTCCTCATGGCACATGGGGACATCCCTGTGACCTACCAGGTCTCTCATGGGCTGCCTCCTGCTGCAGGCGGACAATGTGCAGGAGAAGGGGCTCTGGGAGGCACCACAAGATCTGGAGGCTTCAGGCCTTCCCTTGCCTTTCCCAAGGCACTTCAGTGTCTTGGGCAACCCCAGTGTGTCCCACTATACCCCACTGCCCCACAATACTCACTCAAGCACCCACAGAATTTTCCCTGGAGGTCCCTTTCCCCAGAGCCCCCCTTGCCTTCCCCTGCC